CATACATACATACATACATACATACATACATACATACATACATACATACATACATACATACATACATATATGACATATTAAATGTTTATTCTGACCACAACATATTGAATTTTTGAAAAAAAATATTTTTTTCACACCAAAATACTTTAGAGGGGCTTTAAAACATTTTAGGGGGGCTCCGGCCCCCTAAAATAGGCCTAGTGACGCCACTGACAATGATGTAAGTGTAACTCTTAAAACTCTGCCTATAAATAAKTATACATTAAATGTTGAAGACTTTCTGAACCACAGCATATTTTAGGACTAAAATGTGTTGTTTAATCAAAAACTCTTTTTTCACAGACCCATGATTAGGATCAGTGGTTTTTGGCTCTTGTTCTGGGTCAGTCATTAACCCACCTGATCCCTCTCATAGAAAGTCCACCGCACGCGCACACGCGCGCGCGCACACAGTGTCGCGTCTCGTCTGTCATTACGAGAAAGCGGATCCCTCACTGAGCAGAAGCAAGGAAAAAAAAAAAAAAACATTCCAAACGACAAAACTGTTTAGCCTAGTTAACACCAGACTGGATGGAGACAGAGAGACAAGAAGAGGAGAAGTATTTCTGTAAACCGGGAGTTTTTCCTGTGGGATCACAGGACACGACTGGTTTCGATCCGTTTTCCTTTCTTACCTCCGTGTCTCCGTTTCTGTCAGCATCACCGTTCATCTCCAAGTTTTCAGAAGCCATTTTTTCCTGCCGTGTGTGTAGGAAAGCCTCGTCATGCAGCTGTAATGTAGGGACGTCCACTGGACCGCAGCAGCAGCAGCAGCAGCAGGGTTCTGACCCAAACACCGGAGAGACGGAATGTAAAATGTCCCGCTGCTGTGAGGACGATGAGGGGAGCTGCCCGACTCCCGCCCCTCCAACACGGGGGCGGCCGCAGGAAGAAAACTGAGCACTTTAAAGAGCAATGTTAACTTCCAGTGCTGTTTATAGATTTATTACAACACATTTGAAATTATATGCTGACGTAATGTAAGAAGGAAAAAGAAAAAGGCAAACGTGTTTTTTGTTCATTTCACTGTTTCGCTTTTTAAAAACTCAACTTTACTGACGTCTAGTGGTGAAACTGGGGTATTACACGCAACTGCTTTTATTTTATTTTATTTTATTTTATTTTATTTTATTTTATTCTTAACAGCAAATGCCAACGTAAAACAACAATTTAAAACAAACATAAAACATACTTGAATCAAATTATTATTTATTACAGAGACAGATCCACAAAATAACATTTGCAAAAGCTTCAGAATTTAAACACTGTCAGTTTAAGAGCACAAACTTTCTGACTTTATTAAGCATGGCCACAATGACAACACAGTCTTAACTTAGAAAACACTTTTTCCATCCATCCATCCATCCATC